TGTGACAGGCCTCATCAATAAAACTATTATTTAAATCCAGAGTTTAGGTCCCACTCTAAGCTTCAGTCTAAAATCCACTCATAAATAAAAGTGTGCTGTAAATCCTTGACTCGCCAACAGACACGACCACATAAAACACAGTTTTTCCTAGAAGCCTCCATTTTTTTTTGTTCTGACATTTGAAGCTGCACGCTGGGTTGAATTTACAACATGAGAGGAAAATGTCGCAAAGCCTGTTCTCCGAGACATCATTTTGCCTTTTAGTTGTTAACAAGATAATGGTTTATCAAACTGCTTAGCTTCAAATATTGAGCTGTGTTGCTCCTCATAGAGGGAGATTCCACCAGACTGAAACACCGCTAATCTATCAGAACACAGACGGAGAATTACAGTCACTCTGCAGATCATCTACACACTTACCCCAACTGGTGACCAATTTCTCATTGGTCATTGGTCTCATGTACAACCATGGTATCTGCAGGTTTAAGGGAGCCACATTTACGACTTTTTAAGACCTTTTTTAAGGCTACTTTGACCAAATTTAAGCTATTTTTAAATTAAATTTATGCTATAATTTCCAGCTATTGCCTGGAACCGCTGCTAACCACATCACGAATGTGGGATTACCCACCCAGTTACCATTAAACTTGCACTTCCCCATGGCGCAAGCTCCCACTAGCTTAACCAGCTAATGTGCTCATCTAAAAATAGCCCCCTTTCACAACCAACTGAATGTGTACGGTTCCGCTTACGCCAACATCGTACACAAAAAATGCTGAAGACTAACTAGAAATTCTTGTTCGTTGGGTCTTTGATAATTTAAGACCTTTGGAAACCGTATTTAAGGATTATTTGTAATTTTTAAGGATTTTTAAGGCCTTCAATTTAGAAAAGAAAATTTAAGACTTTTTAAGGACCCGCGGATACCCTGACAACGTCGCCATCAATAAAAAATACGTTTTATATGGGAAAAATAATGAGGTGGGTTTTCTCCTCTCTTTTGTCCCGTATCCAAGAAGAGGGAGACCTCGATCAGGAAACTAAAATAAAAAAAAAGAGGGAGGGAAGGAAGGAGTGTGCAATAATCAAACAAGAGAGCGGCGCTGCAGTCGTGGAACCACAGAAGGGTCCGCGGAGTCATCAGAAATGCAACGATTTTAAAAGTAAGAATATGATTTTAAATCGACACTTGATGGGACCAAGTGGGAATCAATGAGAGGAGGAATCAACTCTTAAACAAGATAATTGCTGTCAGAGATGATAGAAAAGATGGAGAGGAGGAGGAGATGAAGAGGTAACTAGAGAGAAACAAACAGAGATGGGATGATTAAAATAGAAGAAACAAACAAATGGGTTAGAGAGCCTTTTGAATGGACTGCTTAGATTTGATTTAATAAATCTGAATGACTTAGTTTAACTTATAAAACGGCCTTTACACAACAAGAAGCACTAACAAACTCTTGATTAAGTCTATGCCTCTCCATTTACAACAGATAATTTAATTTACAACATAAAAGAGTTAAAATTTTCGAACGATGTTGAGGATAAAGATCCTGTTTCTGACGTTGGAAATAGCTGCTTGAATCTCTCCTCAGAATCCGTCCTCTGTTGATAAAGACTTTAACAGTAAATGAAGCAGTCAAACCGTTTCCACAGCCAAGACCAGGGGTGTCAAACATACGGCCCGCGGGCCGGATCCGGCCCTCAAACAGGTTAAGTCCGGCAGGTGGTTCTTTGCGTCTTTGCTTCTATGTTTGGCTGAATTAGTTACCTTGTCTCTGCTTTTATGTTTTTCGTCCTCTTAATGTATTTCTTTCTCCATCAAGTCCATGGCAGTTTAGTGAAATGGTTCAGTAATCCAAACCTTGAACATCTAAATCTGATTAGTCGAATCCAGACCCTTGAGGGCCACCATCCAGCATCAGTAGTTGAATTACCAGTTCTGCATGTTGTTAAGCTCTGCAGAAGCCAGTTAATCACCTGCTGAAAAAAATCTGGTGTGTGAAGCAGCGAAACCTCTAAAACAGGGGTGTCAAATATACGGCCCGCTGGCCGGATTCGGCCACCAAATGGGTTATGTCTGGCCCGTGAGATGGTTGTATAAACTTTGTTTTCATACTTTACAATGTAGAGTGAAAATAAACTCTAATTTTTCAATAAAAAACCTGCTGTTCCCAGTACGTTCACTAGATGGTGTAATAGGCATTGTGTTAAGCAAGCAAGCCGTTTATCATCAGCCAGAGCAAGTACGTCAACCAAGTGCAACAGGTGTTCTGACGAGCTACTTTGTTTTGCCCCCGATATCTAATCCGGCATCTACATTTTGTGCTTCAGCGCAAGATGTTTCTGTCAAAAAGGAGAAAGTGGACAGAGAGCAGGTTGTCCCAAGAAAAATGGACATCCCCCTATTTTTTCATGGAAGTGAATGGAAAAGCTGTGTGTTTGGTGTGTTCACAGCATGTTGCAGTGCTGAAAGAATATAATCTTCGTCGCCATTATGTGAGTCTTCATGCCGACAAATATGACAAATTTGAAGGACAGCGGAGAAGAGAGAAGGTGAATGAACTGTTGGCCGGACTGAAGAAACAGCAGTCTGGGTTTACTCACAGCCGAGATATCAGTGATGCTGCAGTGAAAGCTAGCCTCCTGAAAAGGTCAAGTAAGCTACACTCAAGTCTTTAACTAACAATACTTAAAAAGACTAACCTCTTCTTTCCACCGGAGCCGTCAGCAGCACGTTACTGCAGCAGCACATCATAGCTGCTGATAGGAACCGCTGTGGTCAACAGAACCTTTTCCACCGGAGCTGCCAGCGGTGCGAGTCGGCCCCGTCTCAGGAGCAGCATGTCGCGGCCCTTACGCGCCGGTTCTATTTTCTACAAGCGACACCTCTGAAACGGGTCAAGTTCGATATTTTTGGGGAAGGGAAGACAGGAAATCAGACCCGGAAATCAGACCCGGAAACGGAGCGAAGCTCCCGAGATTTTCAGAATAAAGAACATACTGCCTTCCGGTTGCTTTACTTTTAAAAAAGTTACTAAATGTGCGGCCCCGTGAGAAGTTATCACCTAGCTAGCGGTCTCCTTTGTTTTTCAGGTCCGTATTGGCGATTATAAAACGGACAGAACATAAAACACAAACATTTTGGAGCCATGTTGTAGTTTTCTCCTGCTTGTTGTTGTGTTCACTGACGAAGTCACACAGCTCTGTCGGTGACAGCTGCTCCCCTGCTGCTTTGCGTCTCGTGGGAAGGGCCAAGCAGCAGCTTACGTGAGCAAGACGTGCTGCTGACGGCTCCGGTGGAAAGGAGGGGTAAGGGAACCGCCGGTTGCCTTAATTTAAGTAATCTGAGTTTATCTGTGCTTTGAGTGTACTTAAAAGGGCTATTTTACTTAACTCCAAAAGTTCAGTTAATTTCACTTACATTTTCAATGTGCATTACTTAATTTTTTTAAGGCAACCAGTTAACTCAATTTTTTTAGTAATCTCAACTTATCTGGTCTTAAAGTGTAACAATATCAATCCCAGTTATTACATGATGCGCAATAAGAAATTTGCTCGAATCATAACCCTCACATTGCATTTTCCTGGACTGGACCGAGTGTTGCCACAACTTTAGATCAACAGATTGATATCATCTTCATGCACAACCCCAACAGCAAATAAAATACAAACAATGACCTTGAATGCACCAGCTATCAACCTGTGAGCTGCAATCAGATAAAACGCTCAAATTTAGCTCAGCATTTAGCTCAGCATGTATGCAATATCTTCAAAAACATCAACATCGTAACATTTTTTGAGAAACAGTGGTGGAATATTAAGGCTTACATTACTCACCCCCAGATTAAGTTTAAAAGTCTGGGTATTTTGAGGTCTACTTCAGGTTTTGTTGCTCTATAAAATCTTTACATTTCACATGAAGCGAAAGGAAATGCGTTAAATTTGGAGACCAACCTAAAATAATAAAATGCCCCTTTTTTAACATTTAACTTTCTTTTCTAAAATACAATTATTAGAGCCAGAATCACACATTTGTTCGTCTAAAATCCTAAAATTTCACCTTGATTAATGCGGCCATAAATAATAATGAGTGTGTGTGTGTGTGTGTGTGTGTGCACCTCCACATATGCTAATGCTGTTATGACTGGCTGGCTTCATTACTGTCTGTCTACAAAACCATGGCCAAGGTCAGCAGAGGCTGCAGAGATGATAGGGGGCCAAAACTATGAGCACAAATTAATCTGCTGTTTAATCTAATAATGCAGCGTGGCATCGGCTGCCTCAGTCCTATTAACACAACTGTAATTGCATTTGAGGAGAAACGGGAGCAAGAGGGTCCACAGAGGTGTGTGCACGCTCAAGTGTACACCCAAGTACATCAGACACAAATCGAATTGTAATACACAAGCACACATGAGTGTGGGGAGACACACACACACACACACTCTTGCTAGATGCATGAATAAGACGTAAATGAGAAGAAAAACAAGGTTAGGTATTTGCTTCCAGCCATCTTGCCGTGAGTGCATGTGTGTCCAGGTTTAGGGTGTACGGCATGGTGCACTGCTCATTAGCATGGTAATATCCAACCAGCAGGGTGTACTCACAACAGCAGCATATTATTAGGATTCGTCTCATTAAGCTTTCATGAGATTTAAAAGTTAACACAAAATTACTTGAAAACTAAGTGAGATAAAACACGCAGCAAGTTCCCAAATTTGCTTTCCAAAAATGAAATGTGCCCCCCTGGAGACGGTGCACAGCCTGCAGCAGTGTGTAGAGCTGGTCTCGAGTAACAGGATTAGACCCAAAAAATAAACGTGGTCACGCCAGAACTTCAGCTGACCTTTACCGAGACGCAGAATTACTGAAAAAATAAAATTAAATAAAAAAATAACCTGAAGATTTTCTTTAACTAAAGCTGCAGGAAGAGCTTAATCTTCACCTCGAGTTCACCAGATACAAAGGGATGATAATTCACAGAGAGGGATACCTACCGCGGTGAGATGGATGACGCCCTGGGAGGTCACGGGGCATCCCATGAAGCCTACGAACTGCAGCTCGGGACAGTGTTCTGCTACGGCCCGTACGGACTGATCCGTGACCTGCAACAACAGAACAGACAAGAATCAAACTGATGAAAACAACTCACACAGTTTCCATTCCATTTTTAAAGGAAAATAAATAGTGTGTTTCTATTTTGTTAAATGTATTCACTGTGCACAGATTAAACAACACAAAAGATGTCAGAAACGGTCAAACAATACAAATATTTTTCTGCCATTTATAAGTTTTGTTGTTATTTTAACAAATAAACAAGCAAATTCAAAAGCATGTTGTGAATTACTTTGCTGTTTGGACTTATTTTTGACTGCTTATTAACTTGTTCTCAAGCTTTAAATGTCACATCTGTGATGTCCGATCTAATTACTAAAATAAACTCCTGTTTTTCTTCATTTCATTAAAGCAGCAATCCGGAGATTTGCGCCTTTCAGGAATTATCCATAAAAGTGACCGTCTTACCCTGTGCTGTGATATGATGGAGGCAATACGTCGACTTGTTTTTATAAGCCCGCCCCCGTCGTGCAGAGCCCCATGCAATTAGTCAAGTCAAGTCAACTTTATTTATACAGCCCTTTGCAACAGCATCAAAGAGGACTAAAGTACTGAACAAGTCAAAGAGCTAATCTAAATAAAATAAAATAACAACTAAGCTATTTGCTATAATGTTGAGAATAAGACATAATTAAAAAAACATGACATAATTAGCCAATAGTGTTGTATATATGTATCTGCTTAAAGGGGCTTTTCGGACTTTTGAATTTTTAGGCTCGTGATTGCCCCCTCAGGCCAAAAGCGGAACGGCAGCTTCAATAGTAGACTCGTGCACGAGGCGCGAATGCTGTACGTGCACACTCAACAAAAATAACAGCTGAGACAGTCGTGTGTGTGTGTGTGCGTGTGCGTGCGTGCGTGTGTGTGTGTGTGTGTGTGTGTGTGTGTGTGTGTGTGTGTGTGTGTGTGTGTGTGTGTGGCCCGGAGGACAGGAGAACACGCAGCTAATTAATTAAATAATTTGGTTCTGTACCTTTCTCTTCAGCACAGCCGACAAAGGTTTATGATGGGTCAGTCCTCCTGCATGCTCAGATCATTCCCTTCCCTTGCTTGAAAAATTGTTCCAAAATGAAAGTTGAACCCACATCTTTTTTATCTGTGAATTCAATGCCGTTCGGCGAGTCTCAAATAAAAATTTGGGCATCTTACTGTAAAAAATATACCATTAATGTAAAAAAGAAACTCTAAATAAACTATGTTCACACCCAGAATCAAACCCAGGTCTTCTGCACGAGAGTCAGACATCTTACAAGGTGAGCTACACTCTAATAACATTCACAGTATCTGTAACTTTTATATCCTTGATGACAGCTGAAACAACGTTCAAAGAACGGTTCGGAGTGAAAATGGCTATTTTGTTGCTAATTTGCAGGAAATATCTAGAAGAAAGTTCTACAGAAAGTAGCTAAGGGTCCTCAGAAATGTAGCTAGCTTTGTCACTAGACGTTAGGAACAGCGCCAAAGTGGCACTGCCTCTCTCTCTGCTGCTAAAGCTACGGATAGCAAATGCTACGGGCTATGCCTGAGCGTGAACGCGCATGAAGCAGCCTGCTCGACCCGAGCATCTCTCTTTTTCTGTGATTTTACAGAAAAACAAGCAATCACAGTAAAAATGCCAGGGCTCATTCTACAGGACCAGGGCATTGCAGTAGAATGTATGAAGAAGACATTTATTATTTCTATACATGTTTTGGCTGCCAAACTTCCATAATGTCCCTTTAAGCACAGATGTCAGTTTAAGAGTATCGGTTAGGGTTAGCATTTGCAGCAATAGACTGATGCAGACATTTATGGGCACGTAGAACAAATGATTTATTTATTTCTAATTATTTATTTAACTTATATTTTATGAGGATAGAAACTGCCTGAGATGTGTTATCTCATTTTCAAGCGGGTCCTAAGATAATTTACAAAATAGCAGATAAGATAGCAGAATCATTTACATAATCACAGCAAAATCACTAAAGCAAACAAAACACACACAACAACAACAAAAGAAGTCCTGCTAAGCTATGGCTTACCAATAATAATAGCTAGGGTCAACTTTAGAACGTATAATAATATAAGCAGACCCAGTACACACATAGAGATGTGTCCAAATTAGGCGTTGATAGCAAAACAATCACAAATAGGCAATAAATGCTTGTAAAGACAATTTCTGAACAGACGAATTGAAGAAATGGACCTCAAGATTGAAGGTAACTTATTCCAGTCAGAAGGAGCTTTAACACAAAAGGCATGTCTCCCCACTTCTTTCCTACACCGGTGAACAACAAATGACCAATGATCATTAGATCGAGTTTGATGCTCAGGGATTACAGGAACTAACCAGGCTTTCAAGTAAGATGGAGAATCAGAGTGAGTACATTTACAAATAAAAAGCAGCCAATGAAGTTGACGTCTAGCTTTCAGTGAGCACCATGAAAAGTGTTGGTACATTTGACAGTGATGGGTTCTGAAAGGTCGTCATCGTCGTCGTCTTCCTCCGCTTATCCGGGTCCGGGTCGCGGGGGCAGCATCCCAACTAGGGAGCTCCAGACCGTCCTCTCCCCGGCCACCTCCACCAGCTCCTCCGGCAGGACCCCAAGGCGTTCCCGGACCAGATTGGAGATGTAACCTCTCCAACGTGTCCTGGGTCGACCCGGGGGCCTCCTGCCGGCAGGACATGCCCGAAACACCTCCCCAGGGAGGCGTCCAGGAGGCATCCTGACCAGATGCCCAAACCACCTCAACTGACTCCTTTCGATCCGGAGGAGCAGCGGTTCTACTCCGAGTCCCTCCCGAATGTCCGAGCTCCTCACCCTATCTCTAAGGCTGAGCCCGGCCACCCTACGGAGGAAACTCATTTTGGCCGCTTGTATCCGCGATCTCGTTCTTTCGGTCATTACCCAAAGCTCATGACCATAGGTTCTGAAAGGTTCTGAAAGGTTCTGAAAGGACAAATTATAAATATTTTTTCCTATAATAAATTAGAGGCATAGCTTCCAGCTGAAATGACGGAGGTAGTGAGAGGGTCTTATGGTGCAATTCTTTTTTTCTGCCTCTAGATGGCGCCCTCTGAGGAAAAAACTTCTAATTCCTGCTTTAAGTCACACAAATATTTTAAGTTACATTTCACATGTTTCTGGCTTGATTCTGGTTTGCATTTGTTTAATTATGGCTTAAATAAAAATGTAACCTTAAAAATTTTCATTTGTTTGTGCCAAAATTCATAATTTGTCAACTTGTTTGCAAGATCTCTCTGTTCTGCTCTGTTCCTTTAGCAAATCACACAAACGAGACGAATCAAAAAGGTTTTATTTTCACCTGCTTTGCTATGAAACCAGTTTCAGCCTTCTTTTTATGATAATAATAATAATAATGCATTGAACTTATATAGCGCTTTTCTAGACACCCAAAGACTCTTTTTCACACACACTCACATTCACACACTGCTAGTGATGGTAAGCTACTTGTAGCCACAACCGCCCTGGGGAGGTCTGACAGAGGAGAGGCTGCCATTCGGCGCTGTAGGCCCCTCTGACCACCACCAACACAGGCAAGTTGGGTGAAATGTCTTGCCCAAGGACGCAACAGCAGGATAACACCTGTGTCACCACATGACAGGTCTAAACTGTATGCTTTATCCTTACTATGTGTTACGATGTGTTTCACTCCACAAAGAAACAAAAAAAGGCGGGAGGGAGAGTGGGATGATCACAGATGGAAAGGAGGAGGGTGAGGAATAACAAAGACAGCCAGAAGTGTTTGCCAGGTGGCGTGGGCGTCGACGTATGATAGACGGGCCGTTCCCCATCATTCACCCGGCCGTGGACTAACAGCTCATAATGGATCAGGGATCAATAAGGAAGCAGAACATTTCCACCAGCTTCCACTGCATTCATCAATACAGGCACTGATAGCAGCTTCCCCTCCTTCATTACACTCAACACTGCAACAATCTGTGAGAAATCGTTTATCTTCTGTAGGCATCTTCTGAGCCTGCAAAACCTTTTCAGTCACAAATAAAAAATAAAACAAGTGGAACGTGAACTAAGCAGCGTCTGTGCTGTGATTAAGTTACAAAAACAAAGATAAAATAACATTTCAGAGTAAAAATGATGTCTCAGAGTGCCGTCACAACTACATACACCTAAATACACTCAAACTGTGTTTCAGAATTAGCTTTGTGACCGTTTTAGTCTGAACGTTAACTCGGTGAGTTTGAACCACAAATCTGAGGAAACGTTTAGTTTAATGTGAAATAAATGGCATAAAAACTCGGGATGTGACAAAACATCAATGCACTGAAATTGCTTGACATTGCATCTTAAATTACTTCATTGATATTTAAATGCAGTGTATTGATCTTTTTATTGATCATGTAAATGCAAACATTTACTGTATGTTTCCGTAGTAGTGACAATAGATAAGGCTGCTAAATACATAAACATAATATAGTTTATTGCACATCATCAATATGTACAGCAGTAATCACAACATGCATCTATTTGCCCAAGTTTTTAAAGAAAATGCATTGATTTTTTTTTCACACCAAAAACTCAAAATATTCTCGTCAGTGTGGGAAAAACCCCATTCTATAAAAAATAATTTAAAAAATCCTTTTTGGTTTGTGAGAAAATCTGACTGATTTGTGTTTTCTTCAGACATCTACTCTCAACTCTTTACTGTTTATCTGCTCATGTACTCTCTTTTCCTCCATTTTCAAACCGCAAACCTTCAAACTTCAGCACACATCCATCCCTGTAACGTTTCCCCTTTCTTCTGTTCTCTTTCTTCCCGCATTGCTGCCCCACATCCCCCTTCTAGACTTCCTTAAAGGTTACCGAGTCGAGGCAGAGGAAGATGAAAAACCATAGGAGACAAAGAGATAGAGGGAAACCACGAAAAAAGGAACAAGGTGTCCATTTATCTTTCACCAAGTCACAGTGTGGATTCTCAGGCTGAAACACCTCCTACGAAGCTCTAAGCCTCGTTCCTCACCTTATCA